TAATATCATTAGAACTTACAGGTTTTATTCATTTAACATTAATATAAATATAAAAAGAATAAATAACACTGTAATATCATTAGAACTTACAGGTTTTATTCATTTAACATTAATATAAATATAAAAAGAATAAATAACACTGTAATATCATTAGAACTTACAGGTTTTATTCATTTAACATTAATATAAATATAAAAAGAATAAATAACACTGTAATATCATTAGAACTTACAGGTTTTATTCATTTAACAATGATATAAATATAAAAATAATAAATAACACTGTAATATCATTAGAACTTACAGGTTTTATTCATTTAACAATAATATAAATATAAAAATAATAAATAAATAACACTGTAATATCATTAGAACTTACAGGTTTTATTCATTTAACAATAATATAAATATAAAAAGAATAAATAAATAACACTGTAATATCATTAGAACTTACAGGTTTTATTCATTTAACAATAATATAAATATAAAAACAATAAAACTTTTATTTACAGTGAAATATATTGTAGTAATAATATGTTGTAACCACCCCCAAACAATGTTACAACTGTCCCCGGTCTCACCTCTGATTAAAGTCAGTCCTGCCAGGAGCAGGATCATGCTGGTTTCTGGAGTTTGCAGCTCCAATATGATTGGTTAATTGGACCCAACAGAACCCTGAGGTTCTGTGTCCCTCTCTGCTGATGTCACATGGACAGATTATCGGATCATGTTGCTCCATCAGTAATCAGGCCCAAATTATCCTTAAGCTGGTGAGTCACTCTTGTTTTCTTGGACGACGCGTCGGTCCAGACAGGCAGGCTGTGAGTCAGGAGGAGGTGCTGCCAGAACAAAGCCCGGCAGAGACGCTCGCCCAGCAGACGGACCAGAACCAGACTGGGCCAGCGCTCCTGACTGGGTCCGCTGGCTTCCTGTCCCACCGGGCCTCACRGATGGACATCCTTCAGTCCAACTGAGCAGCTGTGGGATGTTCTGGACAACAGAGACCAAACAGCTTAAAGGATCTGCTGCTGACGGGTCYGAGCCAGAACCCACAGCAGAACCTCAGGAGTCCAGAGATGGGTCAAGCTGGGTTTGATGGAAAAAATCACTAATACACTAATACACACTAGTACACTAATCTGATTATTTTGCAACAACAAAAGCAAAAAAAAAGTTCTTAGTTGTCATTTTTTTAGTGTAATTAAGTCAGAAAATATTTTCAGACCCACCTTGATGTTTCAGACCCACCTTGATGTTTCAGACCCCACCTTGATGTTTCAGGACCCCACCTTGATGTTTCAGGACCCACCTTGATGTTTCAGGACCCACCTTGATGTTTCAG